AGTTGGGATCAATTCACACCATAAAGCACGCTTCAGTAAACTGAGCCTAGCCTGGGATCCCAGGATAAGGAGTCAGGACAAGGGATTCCTTCCACCCTGCAGCACACACGCCCTCAGTCTGGGCTGAGGGACCTTCTGTCCCTTTCCCTCTGCCTTCCTACAGAATGGTCACACAAGCAGCAGACCTAACTGCTTTGAAGGCACCAGCCTCAGGGGAAGTCCCGCTTCTGTCTTGGTTGTGGGAAGAGAGCCATTTGGCAGACAAAAAGAAACAGGCCATCTGGAGAAGCCTGAGACCTCAGTGAATTGTCCCAGTGATTCTCCCAGCTTTTGTTTATTGTAAAAAATAACATGATAACAACATTCAATAGAATTTTTAAAAAAGGAATAAAAGATGACTCATGATTCAAGAGCCTTCAAGAGCCCCAACACCCACAAGTGTTTAATTTTTTCCCCCAGTCTCTTCTGAGTTTTGGCTACAAACTTAGCTGCATGCAATCTGTCTGTCATTCGCTCTTTTCTTTCTTTCATTTTTTTTTTGGTTGTTTTTTGAAACAGAGTGACTATGTAGACTAGGCTGACCTTGAACTCATAGAGATCTGCCTAGCTCTGCTTCCTCAGTGCTGGGATTAAAGGCATGGTCCACACCCAGCAGATCCTCTTTATTTATTTCTTTTTAGGCAGGATACTGTGTATCTCAGGCTGGCTGGAACTCAATATGTAGTCAAAAATGACCTTGACCCTCATGTCCCTGCCTACTGAAGGCTGGCATGAGAGATGACCACATGCCAGTTTTTGTGATACGGGCATTGAATTCACAGCTTCTTCACACATTCTGGGCAAGTACTCTAGCAACTGAACTACATCCCCAGTGACTTCTCTTTTGAGAAATTTATCATTTAGCTTGGTGGTGGTGGCACACGCCTTTGATCCCACAGTTGGGAGGCAGAGGCAGGTGCATCTCTGTGAGTTCGAGGCCAGCCTGGTCTACAGAGCAAGTTCTAGGATAGGCTCAAAAGCTACAAAGAAACCCTGTCTCAAAAAATAAACAAACTATTATCATTTAATACTCTTTAAGTCTTTTTCTAGTATTAATACAGTTGGTCTTCATTGTTTCAGTTTTTGTTGTGTGTGTTTAATATTTTTTTTCAGCTGCAAATATCCCAGCCAATTTGATTCAGGCATAATTAATGATCCTTTATCCCTGGAGCATTCCTGTTCATGGCTGGAATCTTGGCAAAGCTGTGAGTGAAAGGGAGTTTGTTTTCTGGGCCCATGTACACCACAGAGAAGATCTTCTTTCTTCTCTGCTAACATGTAACCTGAGAATCCCCTCGTCCTATCCCAATCTGAGCAGCCCTCTGAAGCTGTGCCCTTGGTCGAGGGCTTTTTAAAAAGTAATGCTATACGTTTGATTTGTTCCTCTCAGTAAAAGCAAAGTGTGCTTACATAAAATTACAGGAAGGCCAAAGAGAATAAAAACGTTATATGATGTTGATAGTGGTGCAGACCTGGGGGGCTTGAGGCAGGAGTATTGCCAAGAGTTTGAGACACCTTCTGTCTGTCCTTTCCCTCTGCCTGGGCTGCACAGTGAGTCCAGGCCAGTTGGGGTTACATACAGAGACAGCATCGCTACTGGGCCTATATGCCACTGTTTTGACCCTGTTTCTGTTCTGTTCTCTTTCTTCCCACATTCGGCTGCCTTCCCAGTTCATTCCAGAGCTCACTTGTGTCATACGAATGATGGCAGAATAGACGGATTCTAAGAGAATGAGCTGAGGTCTTGGACACTTGTTAGTTAAAAACATGCACAAACAAACATACACGGAGTATCACTTGATGTGCTTGAGGGTGGTTAGTTAAGTGCACAGAGGAACCTAAAACCTCATCTAACTGGAATGTATGGAGGCAAGGAAGGAGGGCTTTAGGACTGGTTTAATCCAGAAACTCAAAAATGTCAAAAAGGAAATAGTTTCTTCCTAATCTTTGTGCTCTGTGTTCCCATAGCGTTACTCTCTTCTTCAGGTCTCCTCTTCTAGTCCAAATGGCTATCTTCTCTACTTCTTCTGAGGCTACTCACTTCTAGTAGGGAATGGAGGCATTTCTGGAGATTTCCTTTAAGTCATTATGGTTCCTGTGGCCAGTGATAGGAATCCTCTCTATTTCTAGAAAATATTGTGGCTGCCAAAATAAAAATAAAAAAACCAACCTTTGAAATATAGAATTTACCTCATGTCTGTTGCCCAATCAGAAATTAAAACTGAAGATGTTTAAAAACATTGACTACACCAGGTTTGGTGGCACACAACTTTAAACCTAGGCCTCAAAGAGGCAAGCAGAGCTCTGTGAGTTTAAGGCTAGCCTGGTTTACTTCAAAGTTCCAGGCTAGCCATGTGAGACCCTGTTGAAAAACTAATCTAAAACAACAATACCTTCCTTCCAAACCCAAAAGAATATGCATTACTTCATAATAATAAACATAGGTCTGGGAGGTATAGCTCAGTGGCGGAGTGTTGGGCAGTCCGCATAGCATTGGTCTAGTCCTAAAAAGGCCCTGGATTTGATTTCCAGCACCAAAAAAAAAAAAACAAAAAAAACCAAATGCACAACTGTAGTTGTTGCCCTTGATTTATTAGTAGTCCTACTATATGTTAGAGTCTGGAAGCTTCTCTGAGGCCTGCAAGTGAACCTTGGAGATCTAGTAACTGATTCTAGTGTATTATTTGGGGACCCGAGGGGGGGGCAGATCTTATCTTTGTTAAAGTGTGAATCAGGTTAAAGAACTGAATGCTTAAACAGATGTGAGGCCAAGGCAGGAGGCAGAGTTCAATCTTACTCTTCATCACCCCCAACTTGGACCTACCCTTGAAAGTTAGGGCACTTCCGGTTTCCAGGGCAGCCATTATTGCTAACAGGGAGGGGGTTCCATACAGTGGAGATGTAGGAGAGAATGGAGGCCAAGAGACAGCAGGATGCCTGACCACGCAGGCAGGCCCCAGGCTGGTCTCCAGTAGAAAGAGGGTGAGGTGCTCCTCATTCTCCATGCAGCTGTCCCCCATTCCAGGCAGCTGCTATCTGACCAGCCTTGGCCAACCCACTGTGCCATGTCAAGCTTTCTTCCATTTTTCCCCTTCTAGGATATTCCCAATGTCCTCACTTTAAAATCATACAGATTATTACTATTTTAATGAAAGCAGAATCCACCCACCCTATTCTTTCCTGTGTTTTTATTCTTGGCATTGACTAGCCAGATAACATTCCCACTCCCCACCCCCGACATCTGCTCTCCACCCTGGGGAAAGAACAAAGATGTGCCCAAACCTGCTGCTCTGTTGAAAAGGAAAAAGTGATAGCATTCTTGGCTCAGGTCTAGGATCTTGCTCTTCAAAGTGAGAGAGGTATTGTTTGGTCAAAGATAGCCTCGGTGCTTGAGGGAGCTGGGAGAAGGGGTTCTAAAAGCTAGCCCAAGTCCTCTTCCTGTTTGTCAGCCTCCCTGGCATGCTGTTGTAAAACCCCAGCCCTCGATTTCTCTCCAAAGCTTCAGCGTTCTCAGCTGACACACAGCCACAAGAACTATCATGGGACCACGAGGAGCCTCAGAAAGGAGTTCCATGTGTAGTGACAAAGAAAACTGGAGCTGCATCTTGGAAGACGCGTCTCCAGACTGTCGGAATACCCCTTTGTGGCTACATGTTCTTGAGGCTGAAGGCAAGCTGTTCCAAACAACAAAAATTAAGGCACCCTGGCATTTCCCCCTATACACATGCACTAACAAAGGGTCCACATCCTTCCAAGAACTTGGCTTCATTATAATATCATTTACTTTGTGGTTTGGATCCCCTTCTTGTCAGCTTTTCTAGAGGATCATGGGAAGAAGTACCCTAAAACGGAGATCCAGTCCAGTTTTAAGCGTCTTTAATGCCCCAGATTTGATACTTACTAAAAGTGTAAATTGTATAGAAGTTCCTTTCCAGAACAGGCTGTGGGAGGCGACGGGATCAGTAGTTTTCAGCCAAATGGATTTGAGTGCTCCAAACCCAGGTTCTGGTCTTGGTTCTGTCACTAAATGCCTCCAAGGGTTTAAAAGCTACTCACCGCCCCCCCACCTCAGTTTCCCCATCTGTTAAAACTAGGTTGACTTGGGTACAATATAAGGCCGTTCTGGCAGGGCCCCAGACACGTCCATCTAGCCCAGTGGTTCTCAGCATTCCTAAGACTACAATCCTTTAAAATGTTATGACCCCATACCACAAAATATTTTTCATTGCTACTTCATAATTGTATTGATACTGTTATGAATAGTAATGTAAATATCTGTGTTTTCTGATAGTCTTAAGGGGACCCGTGGTTGAGAACCGCTGATCTAGCCTGTCTTGGGAGCTTGCCTTGGGGGGAACGGGATTCGGGGACCCAGGACCAGTAACTGTCTAAAGACCAGAGGACAGCTGGAGAATAAAGCACGTGAATACGTCAAGCCCCTTCATTCCCTGGCTCCGTGATTCCTAAATGGATGCTCAGCCAAAAGCCCACAATCGGTCCAAAGCCGCCTTTGGTTCCCCGGGACGCCTTCCACCATCTAATCCCGGGCAAGTCTGGAGAAGAGTTGGAGAGAGCCCCAGGCGAGGGGAACCCGAGTCCCAGGCGGCCTGGCACCCAAGCTGCGACCCGGCTGGAGGCGCCCTGCTCCCCCTCGCTCTCCTGGGCGGAGGGGGCTGCCTGCTCGGAGGCGGGGCCGCAGTGGGGCCCCGCGCGCTGTGATTGGCTTCCCAAGTCCTCGTGACGCACGACCCCGCCCCCTCCGCATCCGCGCCGGGGAGCGGACTGTCCGGGGCTGAATGGGCGCGAGCGCGGCGCCGGGGGCGGGCTGGGGCGCGGGGCCCGGGGCTGGCGGCTAGCCAGCGCTCCCTCCCTAGCATGCGCACGGAGGCGGCGGGCGGCGCGGAGCGGCGGCCCCAGAAGCCGCGAAGCCAAGCAGCGGCACCTGCCTGCCGAGGTACGTGGCGCAGCCCCCAGGCGGCTTAGCGGACTCCGGCAACCCAGGCAGCGGCGATCCTCCTTTGCCCACTCAGACCCGGGGCCCAGCGACTCCTCCCTAGCCCTGCGACGCCGGATGCGCATGCTGGGGGACACGGGCTTAGGGTCGCGGCTCCGGGCTGCTTAGATCGGCGTCCCCGCGGCCGGCGCAGGTGTGGATGCGGCGCAGCGGGTAAGGACGACCCGACCCGCAAGGCAGGTCCAGCCGGGGTGGCCCTTTTCCACGCCGTTTGATTCGGGGTTTTTTAATTCATTGCTGGAATCTTCTAAGCCAGCAGAGCCGAACTGACCAAGTGTCCCCGTGACTGGCTTGGGGAACCCTCTGCAGGGTCACTAGTGGCTCCTGAACCTTCCCTGTGCGTGCAAGTGGGTAGATTTCTGCTGGTAAAAATTCTCTGGTGACCTTCCCCGCCCCCTCTGCGGCCAGTCCTGCGGAGCAGACGCGTTGGGGCGACCTTTTTGGTTCCTTGGAAATTTTAAACAGTGGCCTGCAGAGAGGGTGCTTTCTTTGTGCGCTGTTTTGTTGTTGTTTGTTTTTTTTAAGAGGTTATTTTGTAGGACCCCAGGGAGTAGAAGCGAACTTCTCCCCCTACCCCACACCAGCTGGATGACCTTGGCGGACACTGATCCTTCTGTGGGGGGCTTGCTCTCCTGGTCTGTACTGGAAAGCTTAATCTACTGTTGGCGGACGTCTTTCCCAGGCCACTGGGTTTGTGGTTCTAACCATTTAAAATAAATCTATCATCGAAGAGAACTCTGCAGAATCATTAGCTGACTTGGAAATGAAATTTTTATACGTCTCCGTCTTAATTCAAGTATCTGGCCTTTGCAAAATTAGGTGTCATTTACTTAAAAGGGGGTAAAGTGGTTTTATGTGTTATGCTTTTCCTGGGACCGATGGGTTGCAGGTTCCTTCAGCCAAGGGCTGTGCTGAGTTTTAGACTCACAAAGGAAGGAGACTCACTCTCATCTTCTGCCCTCTGGTGTCTAGCCAAGCCTTCCCTTGGTTTATGACTGTAAATTCTCTTCTACCTGCAGATGGCAAGAGGGATCTGTGTCTGTTGAATGAAAGGAACAGACAGGACAGATTTTGGTTTCATTTGTGTAATTCCCTGTCCTGGCGTCTCAGAACGGTGGCTAACATTTCTAGTTGCAGAGCTGGGAATCACCTACTTACAAGTGTTTGGACAAGAGAGAATTAATACGAACTTCCGGAGCACTGTAATCAGAATGCTGAGCCTCTTGACACCCACGTCTGTGATGTGGTTGATGCTGTTTCTATGAGGTGGAGATTGTGGTTAGTGTTGATAGTGTTTCCTTGAGACTTGAAAAGAAATGAAGGAGATGGTTGGGAGCCTTGATGGCTGGTTTTTGTTTGTTTGTTTGGTTGGTTTGTGTTTTAACATTGGGTATTGTGTAGCTCAGGTTGGCCTTGAATTCGCAGCCCAACTAGACTTTGAACACTGATCCTCTGGCCTCCACCTCCCAAGTGCTGGGATTACAAGCCTGTGCCAACATGCCTGGAAGGCAGAGTGCTGGGGGCCTGGCAGGAAATTATAAAAGAACACAGATTCTGAAAATCCATCGGTTTGCCCCATGTTTAAAATAGGTTAAGAGATGAAGGGTTAGGGAAAGCGTCAGGAAGAAACACCTCTTCTCAACTACACCCCCCTACTGCTCTCTGCTCCCTTACTGGACTGGCCGAAGCAGTGAAGGGTTAGCAGCTGTCTCTTCCGACATTAATGGTGTGCTGAGTAGTTTCTAATGTTAACTTGATACAATCTGGAGTCATTTGGGAAAAGAGAACAGCAATTGAAAACGATGCCCCCACCAGATTGTCCTGTAGGCAAGCCTGTCTGACATTTCCTTATTTAGTGACTACTGGGGAAAGGCCCAGCTCCTTGTGGGTGGTGCTACCCCTGGGTAGGTAACCCTGTGTTGTTTAAGAAAGCAGGTTGAGCAAGCCATGAAGGGCAAGCCGGTAAGCAGCGCTCCTCTATGGCCCCTGCATCAGCTCCTGCCTGCAAGTTCCTGCTGTGTTTTGGTTCCTGCCCTGACTTCCTTCATGATGGACTGTGATATGGAACTGTACGCTGTAATTAAACACTTTTCTTCTCGCTTGCTTCTGGTCAGGGTGTTACAGCAATAAAAACCCTAGCAAAGGCTTGTGGAAAGTGGAAAGTCCCCTCTGCACCTTTCTGGTTTCGGAGGAGGGCTTTATTCTGCGCTGCTTATGGAACCAGGAGGATGGTCATCTCCCTCCGAGGGCTTGCTCTCCATTGCTTGTCTAGCTGGGAAGGTTTGGAATAGAAACAACTAGGAATATACATGACAGCTGCTGGGGATGGAGAAGCAAGGACGGGATCCGTGTGGGCGGCGTATGTTAGGAGAGGCATCCACTGGAGGGGGGTGTGACTCACAGGCCCAGTCGTGGGAGGAAAGGACGGGATCGGTGTGGTAGCACAAGGGCTCTCCTGAAAGAAAAACCCAGCTCAAGCACCTACAGAGGGGACAAGTGGGGTATGTGGAGGAGGAGGAGGGAAGAAATGAACGGAGAGGGCTCATGGTTGAAACTCATTTACCTGGGCACCAAACAAGGTTTGCTCCAGTTTAAAGAAAGTGTAGATACTTGCAGCTGGGGGTGGTGTGCAGGCTTGTTAATCTTAGCACATGGGCAGGAGGATCAAGGGTTCAAGGTCAGCTGGGGTACACGAGACCCTGTCTTGGGGTGTGTGTGTGTGTGTGTGTGTGTGTGTGTAAGTACTAATACATGCAAGTACATACATAGGTAAAGCCAGTGAGATGGCTCAGTGGTCTGTGGTGCCTGCTGCCCAATGAGCTGAGTTAAATCTCCATAATCTACACAGTGGAAGGAAAGACCCAACTCTGTTCTCTTATGACCACATCTTAGAAATGTGTGTAGGTTCGGGGAGAATAGACATAGCTAAAGTGTGTTGCAGAGCAAATTTCCACCCTGAACACGCACCGCCTTCGATTCAAGGAACAGAACGTAACCATGACCTGTGCTGTGTCCAGCCACTGCCTCTCAGCGTTAATCTGGCCTTCCTTCCTTCCTTCCTTTTCTCACACTGTGCGTAAATGGAAACCTAGGTACTTGTCTTCCTTTGTAAGCACTAAGTGACAGAGGCCTCCCCAGGCTGCCTGTAGTTATCCTCATTGTCATTGCTGATGGCGATCACGGGGTGAGTTTAGTACATCTTATTTGTGATCAGTTGTTGAATGTTTAGGCAGCTTTTAGTGTTTGTCTCACCCAGATAGTGCTGCTGTAACTGTTCTAGTGCCTAGCTTTGGTAAAGTGTGCATTTCTGAGAATCTGTGCTGGGCAGTAGGATTACTGGGTTATGGGTTTATTGCTCATTTGGGGGATCCCCAGCCAAAGCTATTTTATTCTAGTCTTAGTATTAACAGTTTCCAGTTGATGGTGCTGGAGTTGCTTCTACAGTAGGATAAGTTTCTGCTTGGTCCTGCTCTCTGTGGCTTCAGGAAGAGCAGTCCTACAGGCTCTCCTCTGGTCCCAGCACAAAGTAGGCTGAGCTCTAGCCCTGAGCTCCATGGTCCTGTTGATGTTGAAGTATCTCTACTCAAACTACTTAGTTTGATCTTAGTCTCTACACATCGTGCTGCAGACAAACCTCTACCCAACCACTACGACTCTCTTTACCTATGGGAAATAGTAGACTTTTTCTTACTTGAGTTTCTGAGCAATACAAAGCATTTTTGTACTTCAGTTACAACAGGGAAAAAAATCCAGGAGTAAATTTTTGCATCATGAACCAATACCTATACTCATGAATTCTCCTTTTTTCCCCCTTTAGACTTAATAACATCTGGGATTATAATAATTTAAGATTGTGTGATTGGGTTTGATTAGTTCAACAAATAGCATTTAAAAGGTCTACTTTTATGAATAATACTTAAGCTTTTTGAATGTTGCCGCCACCTTTGAAATTATTTGTTTGTGTATTTGTGGTTTTAGTTTATTTTTTGTTTGTTTTGGAGTAAGGTTTCATAAAATCAAGCCTGGCCTTGAATTTTGACTCCTGCCTCCCCTTCCAAGTGCTGGGTCTACAGCCATGTGCTACCACATTCCATTGGACTGTTTTGTGACACTGCCATTTTCATAATGGCAGGTTTATGAATACTAATGGAGCAGAGGCAGCTTATCTGTTAGACACAGAGAATGTGTCCTTCACAGCTGGCTTCTCCCGGCCTCTGCGCTCTCATCCACTTCCCTCTTGTTCTTCACCCCCTTTCTGGTCTCCTCTCTCTTTATCTAGACTCCAGCAGGCAGCAGGACAATCAGGACAGAGTGGCCTCTGGTCTTTCCTTCTCTTTGCTTGTCATTTTCGCTATCGGGATCTTACTCGGCTGGGCCTATCGGCTGGCGCGGGCCGCCGCTTTATCGTCCTTTTGTTTCGGTTCTCTCCAGTGGAAAGAACCTGAGCCTTACCTGCAATTTGGATCGGTAGCCTACCTTTAAAAACGTAAATAGAAGCTGGCTGGAATTGAAGGGATGGCTTAGTGGTAAGAGAGCATGCTGCCCTTACAGAGAACTGGAAGTCCGTTTCCATCACCTACATCAGGCAGCCTGCAGTCCCAGCAGCAGGGTAGACAGTGCCCTCATCCAGCCCCTGTGGACACACACACAAAATTAAAAAAATAAAAATAAGGGGCTGGCAAGATGGCTCAGTGGGCAAAGGCCACTGCCGCCAGGTCTGACAGTCTGGATTTGATCTCCGGGACCCATATGCTGGAAGGAGAGAACTCAGGAAAAAAGAGCATGACCTCCGCATGTACACCATGGCATGCACACACACTCACAATCAAAATATAATAAAATGAAGAAGGATAAAATCAATCTCTAAAAAAAAAAACAGGTAGATTCAAGTTTTCATTTCTCTGGAAGACACTGGCTTCTAAACTCACATGCACCTAGTGGCACAGCTTCCAACAGTTAATGAGTACTATATACTCTGTTAGTCATACTAAGCCAGCAAATCCTGCTCCCCACTCCCTACACTATAAAACATGAGAGCCATTTGCTCACTCTGCCCTCACCTGTTATAGAACTGTTACATAGATTACCCGATCTCACCATAACCCTGTTTGATACACTATCCCTCCCATTTTACAAACGAGGGTGTTGACATA